CCTAAACCCTAAACCCTACCAAATAAACCTTAGCACCCGAACCCAAAGTTCCAAACCCGGAACCCACCCCTCTCAGGACAGGTCCGCGGCAAGGACCTCGTGAAGATGATTGCGAACATGCTCCGAGACGAGGACCCAAGCAGAGGGGGTTGTTCTTATATAGGGGCCTTAATGAGACTAGGGTTTTTGATTTTGGTATGGTATAAGTAGCTGTACTAATGAACCCTAAGGAATACTATTGGTAGTTATTTGGGCTTCTATAGTATGTTGGGACGCCCCTAATATCCTGCATCACCCATACCAAGGACTACACCATGATTCCCATGGTGTCGGGTAGTCAAAGCAATGTACGGTTTTTGCCACCCCGAAACCCTGAACTCTAACCCAAGCCCCTAAACCCTAATATAGGGGCTTTAATAATTACCTATACTATTTAGTGGGTTCCTTCTTATAATTGTAGTATAATATACCCCAAAACCTATCCTTCTTATAATTGTAGTATAATATACCCCCAAACACCTATTCTACTTATTAAGGCCCCTAAACCCTAAACCCTCTAAAGGAGCCCTGCTCTAGGGTCTTGGCTTCAGGGTCTTGGGCCCCCTAAACCCTAAACCCTAAACCCTAAACAGGAGATGCAACTTCTGTCGGGGTTGAGCCGTAGATGCTCTCGCCACGGCGCAGGGTTCAGAGGCAAGCTGGCGGTCACGTCCAGGCGCTGCATAGTGTAGCCTGGATAGTTGCCCATGATGTTTGTAAGGGTTCCTTGGTATAACGATACCACAATATAGCCGAAAACCTTATTCTGAGCATTAGGCCTCTATGTTACGCAGAACACCAGAATCAGCAAGACGCGCCTACGGGTGTACTAGTCGCTAAGCTTCTCCATGGAGTAGTGGACGGAGCGATGCAGGACGAGGATGCCTTGCCAGCCTTTCAGGATTCGCTGACACTGAGCGCAATGTCGGAAGGCTCTTTCTTGACTTGCCAGGCTGGGAATACTTCTCAGCGCGACCTGGTTCTGGATCAACACAGCACCAGAATTCTGGCCGAGGAGCATTCCCAGCAAGATGAGCAGATGCACCAGGTTGTTGGCAAGGTGTGGGATCAAGTCGTCTTCTTGCTCCCACAGCTTCCACTAGCGCAGTTCCTTGGCATGCTTGACCTCGCTGAACTACGGACTACAGGCTGTCACTTCCGGCATATGCCTCACGTGAAGATTTGCACACTCGAAGATCTGTTGCAGAAGCTGGAATATGGGGGACGGGCGGACATCCTGAAAGCTTGCCATTTCCTATCATCAAGATGCCAACTGCTGCAAGGCATTGACAGAAGGTTCCACGACAAGTTTTGCCAGGTTGTGAGAGGATTGCTTTACTACAAAAGGCACTGGGAGAGATACCACACGACCAGTCAAGACAAGGAGGTTGTTAGCTTGGCCTACAGTGCGCTGATGGACAGCAGACACGACCGATATGTCACTTTCTGGACCATACTTGATGGGTCATAAGAAGTTCACCGCCGCCCGATACTCCATCTTGAGCCAGAATCAGAAAATGCACTACGAAAACTTCATGGTTGGGAGTTGGAAGCCTGAGAGCTGAGCATGTATGGTAGGGTTTAGAGCTTAGGGGCCTCGCAGGACATGCAGACGAGGATGGATGCAGAGGGCTTCGTTAGCATTCAGCCACTCGCCGGCAGATAGACGCGAAGCCTACTCCAAATCCCAATTCCCCCGCACCTCGAACCCCTTAAATCCCAGCTACCCAAGCCCTTCGACTACCCTTTAATGTAGGGGCCTGAATAATAACCTATATTATTTTGGTGGTTCCTTATTCTAAGTATAGTAAAATACACCCCCAAAACCCTATTCTAATAATTACCTATGGTTCCTTATTCTAAGTATAGTATAATGTACCCCAAAACCCTATTCTAATTGTTCAGGCCCCTACATTACCTATGGTAGGGTTTCAGGGGCCAGCCGTCCGGTGGTCAAGCCATGCGGTTGATGATATAAATTTCAGTACCCATAAATAAGGAATATACCATAATTCCCATAGTTTAGGATCTTTAAGGTAATGCAGGATTTATATCATCTTCAGTAGTTTGTAGTCCCTATACTACAGGAAGACCGCCAAACCCTCCTGAAACAGTGCTCTAGTATGAGCCATCTTGGCCAACAGCACCGGTGTTCCCGAACCTTTCGGGCACTCTGCCCTTCACCCTGAATTGGAGCCTTGCTTACGGTTCACCTGCGAAGCCCAAGCCCAAAAAACCGTAGACTCCTAAGTCCTACAATATTCTCAAGGAGCCCTTGAAGGAGTCCTTCTAGGAACCCTGAACCCTTCAATCCTGGAGTATCCTAAAGCAGTCCTTAAAAGAATGCGGTGTAGGAACTCCGAACGCCCAAAGCCCAGCTGTACCCTAGACCTGAGCCGTGAACGCCTCCTTGCTAAGGTGTTTGCTCAAAGCAAAGTCGGGGTCCCGATGGCTGCAGTTTTGCATACCGAGGGCTTTAGGGTTGAGTCGCTGAGCAGTTTGTACTTATGATGTCTGTACTTATCAGGTACTCGCACATGGCTGTACTGTCAAACCAAGTTGCACCTACACTGTTACTGCAGAGTTATAGAGTGACATTTAGAAGTAGGCCGCAAACCACTCCATGATTCCAACAGTGGTTGAGTCTTTCTGATGATTCTGCCGCACTTAATGACCCCCAGCGCATCAATCCAGCGATTGAGGTGTTATCTTTTCAAGTTTGTATGCGTTTTCCATAAACTGTCCAACTGTCCGAAGTAAAGCAAGGGCCTCGAACTCATGATGCCTTCATGACTGCCGTGATGGAGGCCACGAGACTCACCCAGTTTGCTTATCCTTGTGCGAAACCTTGCTAGAACCCCAAGGACTCTCCTACAACTCTACGAAACCCCATTACAGATGAGAGCAAGTGTGGGAGAGAAGCTCTTCCCTTACACCCCAAAGCTAGCAAGCCTTGAGCCCTGAAGCCCTGAATCCTCCCAGGCACACCGTAGGCCGTAGAACCTCAACCCTAAGCCCTGATCCCCAAGAAGTATCTGAACGAAACTCAACGACCCGAATGGAATCCGGTGACCCTTGAGCCTTATTTCACCCTAGGCCCTATACGCTCGCAAGCCTGGATCCACTCTCCGGTTACTTGAGGCCTGCGCTGTCCGAGCACGGAACGGCGAAGAGCCTTGTGGCCACGATCGAGGAGCAGGCACTCGTTCGTCACAGCACGCATCCCCTCCTTCGGTTCGGGGCTCCTTGTAATGCTACTGAGGCCATGTAGTCAGCAGATGGGGTCCCTTCTTTTTCTTGGGGGGTCCCTACAATGCTACGTAATATGGGGCTCCAACACTATTTTGGGGGTTCCGGATTATAGCATAATAAGAAAACCCCAATAAGAAAACCCCAAAACAATTAAGGCCCCTATATTCAGCCCTAAACCCGAAGCCCTAAACCACCGTAGGTTTTTGGACTTAGAGTTTGGGGCCTCGACGACCTGTGAATCGACGAGCTACCTCAGAAAAACTAGCAGCCTTCGAGAGATTGCCAGGGTACATGGGTTCAGAGTCATGACAAATTGAGGCTTGGGGCTTAGGTTTAAGGATGAGGACTAGGGTTTAGGGTTTAGGGTTTAGGGTTTAGGCTGATGATTCGGGAACCGTCAGAGTCAAGGATCAATCCTTGCGCGTCATGCCCAAAGTGACGAAGATCTTGATGCCAACACCCCCCAAAAAGCCTTCTCAATTCCCAACACAACATCGCAGGACAGGAATCTTAACGTATCGATGTGGGCGAGGGGCTTCCGTCTTTCCGCTTAAAGTTTCAGTCTGGAGTTCGAGATTCGGGCTTTGATAATTCGATCTGTTTGCTTTTGGATGTTTCCTACTATAACAAAGGGGCCTTAGTAACAAACATACCTAAATAGTATCGACAATTATTTGGGCCCCTACGTTAACCATACTGAGGACCCTAAACCCTAAACCCTAAACCCTACAGTAACCATACTGAGGACCCAAAGGAACTGTTACCCACTCATTATTCAGGCTTTTGCGTTGCAAAACGCCAGACCCCAGCTGAAGCCAATCAGGCGAGGTACGTGCGCCTGGACAAGGCGCGTGTCGTGGCTCAGAGGGGTCGAGGGAGTAGGGCTTGCAGTTTTAGGGTTTAGGTTTAAAGGGTTCAGGGTTGAGGGCTTAGGGTTCAGTTTTAGGGTTTAGGTTTACAGGGTTCAGGGTTTAGGGGTCAGATTTCGGCCTTTTGAACGCTTTGGGGTTTGCAAGGAATTAGCAGGGGCATTCCGCTGTTTTCATTGCTTTCTTCTAGGTTTCTGATTGAAGTCAACAGGGGTGCTTTTGCCTTCTCAGTTTTGTTGAAACTTTCTTTACGATGCGTGTTTGGCAAAATACGGGTGCCGTGTTTCGGAGGTCCTTGCAACGAGGATCCTATTATTTGGGGTTGTGCACACACACACACACACACATATATATATATATATATACACACTACGGGTGTCTTATCCTGCGAAGCTCACCGTGCTTGCTTGCTTCGTCTGGCAGATAGCTGCTGGTCCATCGTGGGGGCCCCACGGAAGATGTCCCACCGCAAAACTGTAGGGCACTTGATGAGACCAGATCCAACGGATCTAAGAAGAGGCCCTGAATAATGCAGGGGCCTTAATCATTACCTACACTATTTTGCGGGGTTGCTTACTATAATTAGAGTATAATGGGCCCCAAATCCCTATTCTAACTATCAATGCCCCAATATTAAGTTCATGCATCGCCTGAGCCTAGCTAGGGGACGTCACACGCGTCATATCGCAGCTCCCAAGTCCTGCTACCCAAACTGAGCTCCAAGTACGTACTAGCAAATCAGCAACAAAGTGTAGCGACGGTCTTGCCACTTTTCCCTTGCTTCTTTTAGCACTGCGTTTAATTATGGTTTTTTCTATATTAACGACCAAGCATTGTTTTCTCTTGCCGGCACAAGCCTCGTCTGTCCCTTGCTCCCCTGGTGGTGCGCCTCGCGCCCTTCCCACAGCACCCTGGCCGCAGGGGCGGGCTCTGTGTGTCTGTCTTGAGGCTTTCGGGCTTTCTGGCTCGGAGGTTATTGTCTTTTTGATACCCTCAACCCTTAACCCAAAACCCCAAACCCTAACCCTAAACCCTAAACCTCGATTTTTGATACGTTTTTTTTTTTCGGTTTCGAGTTTCGGACTTTAGGACTTTGAGGCTTCGTGTTGGGGTGGGGAACGTGGGCGTCAGCCCAACGGTGCGGACTTGCTGGGACAGAACCCCTCTTAGGGCATTATAGGGTTTGGGTTTAGGGTTTAGGGTTTCTATATTCCTTCATTCCTTCGAATTCTAGCTGTTTAGTTTCCTGCCTGAGGCCCGAAGGCCTTTGCCTGTTTGGGTTACCCTACAGCCCACCCAGGAGCTTGGACACGGTACTTCGAGGTTACGGTTTAGCGTTTGGGTTTATGGGGTTAGGGTGTTCAGGACCCCAACATAGGCCTTACATCTCTCGACTTGAGACCCTGCACTTTTGGTCGTTTTTTGGGGGGTTTGTACTGTCTAACAGGGTCTGCGGCGAAAGCATACACCGGCTGTAGGCCCGAAACTTGTAGACCCATTTGCACATGCTTTGGCCTTGGCGCTCCAGGTAATCATCATGAACAGCACCGTGAAGCGGACGTCTCAGATCAACCACACTGAGGGATTCTAGGTTTGGAGTCTCGGTTTCGGGTTCAGGGCCACCCCTAAACCCCTCAACCCTATGAGGGTTTGGGGGTTTAGGCGTTTGGTGTTTCGTGGAGTTTCGGTTTCAGATTGTATGGACAACAGCTGGATTCTCCCGAACGAAGTCATCTGGGGCCAACATGGATAGCTCCTTTGAAACCCCCAACCCAAGGAAAAGCTTTTAGCTGAATCTCTCGACTTTAAGCCTCAAGCCCTAAACCCACAGTCAGAGACCCGAAATCCTAAGCCCTCTCCCATCCGAAACCACCCGAAAACCCCCGAAATCTTCGGTCTGGAGCCCACCTCAACCCTCCTGTAGAACGGAATCCCCAAGAAGACCCGAGCGCTTGACGTGAGGTCCATCCTTATCCTCCACTGTCACCTTCCTATCGTCTCCGATGTGCGCCACCACTGCGAGGCTGACCCCGCCAGTCCGCCATCCGGTTCTGGGTTTAGGGTTTAGGGTTTAGGGTTTAGGGTTTAGGGTTTAGGGTTTAGGGTTTAGGGTTTAGGGTTTAGGTTTAGGGTTTAGTGGGGTTATTGGGGAGGCAAGCGGGTGTCATGCAGGAGCATCGGGGGGGGTGGGAGTGGTCTTACAAGTCGTCATCGAGTCGAGGCATTCCTTACATCCTAAGTTGTTTGGGCAGCTTTCTGCGACCCAAGGTAGGAGAGAAGTGCGACCGCAACTGCATACCATGCTGTACTATATCTATAAAAACTTTAGTATAGTGCATTACATTATAGT